ACTTCCTAAATTAACAATTTTTGACAAGAGAAAGACTGAATGCTAATTGCCACGAGGTCAAACGACAATAATTCTTTATGCACACCATTTGCCATCATTAAATATCTTTTAAATTCAGTCATATATTTAAATTTACGTTGTTTTGCAATTAGAATAAGAAGAAATGCAAAGACCAAATTTTCTTCCGTTATCTGTACAAAATTGAGTTTTTGACTGATTGTTGTACTTATTATCATTATTGATTAGTTCTTGTATATTCTGATTTACTAGGGGCACCTACAGGTTGAATAAGTGAAAACAATTATGTTTTCAAATGAAAAAACTAGAGGCTCTAAAGAGCATGTGTCGCTCACCTTGGTCTATGTGCATATTTAATAAAGGACACTTTCCAATATTGTAGACGAGAACAGAATTCATGACAAAATCTGTTAATCTTGTTCTACTGATCATTTAGTCTGTTTAGTTTCTCTCTATCTTCTTTAGTTTTTGCTCAAAAGACAAAAGAGGGTACAAAAAATCCTCATTTAAGGGCAATCACTCCTATAAAGAGTGACAGTCTACTAACCATATCGGCAAAATTTGACTTGTTAGTAGATCTGATCATTTTTGTGATTTAAAGTGTCTATTTATCTATTATAATTTTTATCATATAAGGCAAAACACAAACAAAAAATGGTAAAAATCGTCAATAAAGGGCAATAAGTGCAATAAGGAGTCGTCGGAAAATTTCCTCCAAATTGTCTATATTGTAGATCTTGTCTTGCTGATCATTGTTGCTTATTTAAGTTTCTATCTATCTATTATAATTTTTAAGATATAAGGCAAAAACTCCAAAAATTGGTAGAAATCGGCATCAAAGGCCAATAACTCTAATAACGAGTCGACTGACGATTTCGACCATTAGACTTATTTGTAGAACTTGTCATGTTGAGCATTTTTCTCTATCTATCATAGTTTTCAAGATAATAGGCAAAAATGAAAAAAAAATATGGTAAAATGTGTCATTTAAGGGCAATAACTCGTATAAGAAGTTGTCTAACAGTTTTGGCATACTAATGTATATGGACAATTGATAGAACTCAAAATTTTGAACATTTTTTCCTCTGTCAGATTTTCTCTACTTATAACGGTGTTCAAAAATTATAGACAAAACTTGCATTTTACCCCTATGTTCTATGTTTAGCCATGTCGGCCATCTTGGTTCGTAAGCGGAGTCATCGGACACATTTTTTAAACAGGATACCCCAATGATGATTGTGGCCAAGTTGGTTAAATTTGGCACAGTATTTTCAGAGAAGATTTTTGTAAAAGTTAACGACGAAGGACGACGACGACGACGGACGCCAAGTGATGAGAAGATCTCACTTGGCCCATCGGGCCAGGTGAGCTAAAAAACGACCTGATCAATTTTGTCTGATAGAAATGGAAAGGAGTAAGATTTTGACATTCTAATCATTTTACATCGTGTAAGATTTTCGATGTCGTTTATTGTTTGACCAAATTTGAAGCAATCGTGCTTTTGAAGAGCTTTGATGGATTTACCTTTATCTGGAATGCTGAAAACTAAATTTTTCAAAAACCAAGGTTGTATAAATACGTAGACACATCACCAGGTAGAAGATCTAAACGATACAAATACATGTATTATAGATTGATGGTTTAAAGTCTAAAAGTTTGTTCTAGCATTACAACAAATCAATCTGAACCTTTTTTACGGTCGAATTTGTACAAAATTTAAAAACATTAAATTAGAATTTCAAATGCACTAAACCTAACGAGTAATCCTAAGATTTATATTGTGTAGATCATTAAGATTCATATATCAGTCTGCCATATTTTTATATCACTATCTCTGGATGTATAAATTTCAAATCCGGAGTCTAGCTTTAACAAAGTAGAAGTCTACAATATTCCTTGTAAAATACTAAATGTGTATATCGTCTGACACTGGTCACAATATTTTGGATATATATATATATATATATCCTCGTTTTCAGGGTTCAGTGAATAGTATTGTGTTTCTGTGAATACCAGAAGTTCAGCTTTATTTTTCAGCTGCTCAAGTTATAGAATTATTTTATCGATTTTTTTTAATAGTGCACATGGAGTACATGCGGAACTAAATCGAGAGGTCAACTAATCGATTCATTTTCATTATTCTGATTTTCATACAATCTATTAAACCTTTTTTACTATAAGACAGGTGATTTGTGTAGCCAATTAGGGTTTTGTGAGCGATTGCCTTCGTCGTCGCCAATCATCCTGGGTTATTTCTACTTTTAATTCATCGAACCATTTTTAACCAAACCCCACTTGAGTAATTTTATGGTATATTGTACAGAGTATCTAATATTTTTGTCTTGGAATCCAAAGAATATGGCTATTACGACTGGAAATAGAATATGTACTAGGAAAAGTACAAATCATTACCTAAAATTTTGTAAATAATAAAAGACATCGAAAATCTTACATGACACAAAATGATCAGAATGTCAAGATCTAAGTCCTTTCCCTTTGTGCTTGTCTTTTAACTAGAAATAGATGGAAACTTTACCTGAATGAAATAGTCAATAATGCAAGATGCATTCAAATGGTTGGTAATTATCTTCTTACTGTTAAACAGTAAGAAGCTGTTAACACTTATAATTGATAAAAGTAATGAACTTGGTCCTTTGATGTAAAAACAGTTCGTGTGCCAGATATTATATATCAAGCAATGAAAACTAAACAAAACGAAAAAGATATAAACAATATTCTAGAACAGTCACGTAAAAAAATGACCATATATATTATAACATGGCATTTTTCATATCAGACCCCTTATCAGCCCTAGGTCATGATATCAGCCTGAGAGCCGACAGGCTCGAGGGATGATTTTCACCATGGGCTAATAAGGGGTCTGATATGAAAAATGACATGGTATGTTCTTTTTATCATATATTTCAGCAGAAGCCATACAGACAAGAAAAATTTTTAAAACTGTATAAAATTGATTTAATGTATTATATTTTTAGCATTTTTTAATAATATATTTTCCTGTTTCCTACTGTTCGTTTTTGTACTACTTAGTTATGTTTTTCACTAAAATGTACCACTGAGGTTTATTTTCCGGAATTTGCAGAATGACGTCGAAATGCTTGCGATAACGTTGAAGAAAGGTATGCGGTATTAACCGGAAGCAGTTGATATAAACCGGAAGCAGTTGATATATACCGGAAGCAGTTGATAACGAAAGTCATATCACACGGCTAAGACAATTCTTCAAATTTAATGAATAAATATATGTACAAATTAGTTTTATCAAGGGGTACAATTATACCATTTTTTCTATACGTATATGATAAAATAAGGTATCTTATGATTACTTGCAGTCAGTGTAAACAGGCTAACCAAGTACAAAATATGCCGATATAAAGACCATGTTTAATTCGAATAAGTTTTCTGACATCAACCCCATGAACCCTGATCTTGTGCAATTTGTCCATTGTGAATATGTGTTCATGATTCAAATAGAAAAAAAGGGAAATGGATGCAAGATTAAGGTTATATTTCTTACTGTAATACATAAGAGATTCGATATCAAGTTTTGAAACAAACCAAAAAAGTTGCGAATTATATGTTTTTCTTTTTTGTCCATTTGTTTTTATAATTAGGTCTTTCCACTTGTCTGTGGAAAGACCTATTGGTTTTCTTCTGATTATTATTATTTTTTTCTTCTTCCGCCACTTTTTTTCTGACGGTGCTTTTTTGTTTCGCAAGATGTCGCTTATATTTTTTGCATATGATATCGAACAGTTATTGCGACTTTGAAACTGACCCTGTTTAACCGAACACTTTTTATTGTAAGAGTTATCTCCCCAAACACTATGTTTCTTGTGTACGCATCTCCTTCGCAACCGTAAAAGATTATGACAAATTTATGTCACCAATTTGTTCGTTATATCCTTAGGATCTTAAGAATAATTTTGACCGAAGCGGTCCGGAAACTCCATATGAGAGTTATTTCCCCTTCTGTATTTAAAATAAGTAAAATGTAATTGTAACTGGTAAACCATAAGTGATAGGGACCTAGGGTCTTTTGATTTGAAGTCCTTGGTCCAAAAAAAAAGAAAATAGGGTCAAGGTCAAAGGTCAAGGTAATTTTTAAATTTGGATTTTGGCTTATTTTCACCTCTTTTCAAACACAATATAAGATATCGACAACATATTTTTACTTAATTGTTAGTTGCGACATGTCGTAACACATACATATCGGTTTAAAGGGTACGCTTACATCAAATTAGAGTTTTCTCCCCTCTTTTATTTAAAAATATGCATATAGTGATATAACTCATGAACCAAATATAAATAAGACCTAGGGTCTTTTGATTTGAGGTCATTGGTTGATGACCTTGAAATTGAGCTCAAGGTCATAGGTTAAATTCACGTTCTAGATTTTGACCTTTGCTTTTACCTCATATGTATACATGATAAATCCATGGGACTTTTTGCATTAGGTTTCAAGCCATTTAACCTTAGAAAAGCCCACCGGAAGTGACCTTGTGTAAACCGGAAGTAGCTTTTTTTGTACTTAATTAATGTAAAAGTTTATAGAACCAGATATTTTTGGTATCAGTGTCACTTAAACGTTTGAATAATACCGAAAGTAACATTTTTCAAACCGGAAGTAACAAATTATCTCCCTTATTAAAAAAATATTGTATAGAAACCATATATTTTTGGAATCAGCGTACAATAAGCTATCATTTGACGCTGGAAATGACATTTTAAACCGAATTTTACTATTTTCAAATTAAAATACATGTTTTTTTGTGGAAAGACCTTCAATTGTTCTCTGAACAATTGGTTTTTAATTAATATTATTTTTTTTTGTTATCATTAGTATTATAATATAATTAATTATATTTTGTCTGCCAGGTAAACTATAAATTGAGAGGATCTATGTTTTTATGTTTGATAGATTATACACAGTCATGTCAAAAAAACGGATGAATCTATATCATTTGGTGGTTGTTCCAAATATTACATGTATCTACAGCTTAACAGGACAAGGTTCGTGTTTGATCGAGAGTTTGACAATTGTGCAGGAGTATACCAAGACGTCCAAGCATCAACTAGACAGATCTGTAACGATATGAATAATTCAGACGTTTGCACCTTTAATCTTTCTGGAGTAATTAGGAAAGACCCAAAATGTTTTCAATCAAATGGACTTTTGGTTGAGTTTACATGTGAAGGTAATGATTCAAAACGTAAAACCAAAGAAACAAATAGTATGTTTCGTAAACTTCCGTTGAACTTTGACCTACTAAGTAATGCAAATAAAAAAGACAAATACAGTATCCAATAAATGTGGGTGAAAAAAAAAACTGCTTTAAATGAACTTATATAGCTAATTTTTATCTTCCATGATATATCAATAAAGTTTATTTGATTCATTTATTCATCACAAACGTCTTTAAATATATAAACGTCGGAACAAACAGGTCATTTTTTACATCCGTTGCAGGGTCTGTTGCTCATGATATGAGGAAGTAGGAGGAAGTATGCCCGTGCTTCTGGTGTATGTCCTAATATTTTACAGTTATAAGTATTATGATTGTGAGAGAGCTGTCAACATTTAGTTTTCTTTATTAAATTCATTCTTTTTCCGAAATATATACTGTCCATTATTATCGGAATTCAGAAATCTCACGATGAAGATACATGTACATGGAAAAATTATAAATAGTTGTTACCAGAGAAAAGTAGTTAGGATTCTAATAGTTTACAGAGAGAAAAAGTAAAGTTTCAAAATATTTCATGTTCATGTACAAATCTAAACCAATAGATCGACGATTGTGAAAATTTACATTTTTTATATTATGAATGATTTCAGAGAGAGTATCAAATATCTCAGACGATACACATAAGACACATGTTCCCCTAGGCACAGGTATGTATATTAAGTGGGTTAGACAGTTCCCGGTATTCACAGTTTTTATAAAACAATATTTTAGCAACTGTTTCAGGCACACTGCATAGTGTAGCGAGATTGTTACAATTTTGGAATAACTTGATTATGTCAGTACTGGTTACATAATATATTTATAACTCATCATAATATTTTCAAATTTTGATGATTCTATTTAATTTCATTTTCAAAAATTTACCAGTGAGAGTAAGTGTCATTAACATGATAAAAGAATCATTGACATTCAAAACCAAACCTGGAAATGCCAATAATGTGATAAAATAGATCAGAAAAAAATATAGCAATGAAATTGCGAAAATCTTTTGGGGATAACTTTGCAGAGAATGTTTTAAAAAATACAAAAACTTATTTACGTTGTAATAAAATTGAAAAGGATTTATGATTTACATGTATAAGTCAATGTGACGAAAACATAACGACACATATAACAACAAAAAAGTATGTTTTAAATCCTTTGAAGAATGGTACAGGCCTAGGTAAATAGCAAAAAAACACAAACTTCATTTTCATACAGCAGAACCATAATTCACATATTTTTTACTAATATAATAACAGTTACTGTATTTCATTTACCATAATGAAACATCGGAACATGTGCATTTTAAATTGTGAAAGTTATTAGTATATATAAAGATTTCCAAAGAAGTTGGAAAGCCATATTCAATTTGATACTTATATACATGTAATGGAAATCTCTTACAGATTTGGTTATTGGTATTGTTGTCGCTATCGTGTTGTTAGCGTGTGGTGTGGTTTTAATTATTTGTCTCAAAAGAAGGTAATGTACTGTTTATTATTATACCATGAAAAAGTAAGTGATACTAGTATATAGTGATGGTCGAGTCCTGCTTTTTGTTAGTTTGTACCGCCTCGTTAGTATCGTGGAAGAGTGTTTGCCTCGAGTGCGGGAGGTCGTGGATTCGTATCCCGAACGGGTCGTACCGAAGACTTTACAAATTGCAATTTGCTTCTTTTTTACTAAGCCGCGGCAAAAACTGGTCGGCTCGGAGGCAGAATAGTATGTCCGTGTAGGGTAACATGTCTTCCATTGGACTGTTAATTTGGAAATAGCATGTTAAAAATCCATGTCAACGTGTGGGTCCAGTACAGAGAAAAGTTAGTATTTTACATAAACACGACTTTTCGTCCTTGTCCTGAATATACATTAAATTTAACGATGGACGTTAAGAAGCCATCTATCATCGTCATCATCATCGTTCGTGTGTCCTCCTGTCCCAATTTTTTTTATCCGCAATTGCTACTGAACAGCGAGACATTATTTTGTTTAACTTTCACATAATCTTATTCATCTGAAATTCTATTGCACTTTATATTCTATGTCTTCATCTGCACAATTGTTTTGGGTTTAATTTGAGACTTCATGTATGTCATTATAATACACTGTTGTACTAACTTCTCCTCCTAAACCCTAATAACATTTCATTTTATTTTTACATCCGATATAATCCCATCTGCAACTCTTATTTTGTTCTTTTATCAGACTACTGTTTTGAGGTTTCCTTAACATGTACCAAAGACGGGGAGCTGTCATTGCTTAACTTAGGAGAACATGCTTATCATGTTTATATCCGCAATTCTTATTAACCCCTTATTTGTTATTAGAATTTTTTGAAATTTTTCCACACTATTATCAATATTATATGCTATTGTGCACATCCTAAGTTGTTTTTGTTTAAACTAATTTTTGGGGTTCTCTTTATCATTACTAGGTGGGGTTTGTGTTTCTCAGTCTTGAGTTTAACTATGTTTAAAGCACGCATTAAAGGTCCATGTACATTTGCGTTCGAATTCGTTTTGAGAATTTAAAAACAAAAACTAAAAAATCTAAATTTTCTTAAACACCAAAGACGGGATTCCGAAATATCATAGTTTTTGTTTATGATATCATTTAACAAAAACCCATAACAGATTGTCCGCTGCTTTATAAATCACAAGTGTGTTACATAGATTGGTCGAATTCACTTTAAGGTACTAAAGTTTAGTTGTACATGATATTACGTTTGATTTGATTATTACGTAAACTTTGTAAAATGTCATACTTAAGTTTGTTTGCCTTTTGCTAAACTAATATATTCACTGAAAAAAAAATTAGAAAAATATAATTATATATATCACAAATGTCAACCTAGAAATAATCCATTTGATACACTGTATCTTTCGGATCAATGTACAATACTGATGCCTCATTTATATTGCAGGCGTGGTTTGTGCAGAAAACCTAAAGAAAACCAGAAAAACAAGAGTGTTAAAGCTGGCAATCAATCTGAATCTTCAGCCGGTTTTACTGCTGGCAATCAATCTGAATCTTTAGCCGGTATTACTGTTGGCATCCAATCTGAATCTTTAGTCGGTGTTACTACTGACATCCAATCTGAATCTTTAGCCGGTGTTACTGCTCACACAAACAATTCAAGCAATCAATGCATTCAATTGAAAACTGAACATGACGCAATTTATTGCCAATCCGAAGAGGGAACCTATGATATTTCAGGATGTAATCGTCACAAGGAAGCTGATGGTAACATTTATAGTCATACCGTTGATGATATCTACAATTCAACGATCCGTAATAGAAATGACGATGACCAGGAAGACAAATATGATCATTTCTTTGGACAGAAGACAGAAGATTTGTATGATACTTCAATGCAGACATAATGTGATAACTTACTGTTCTTTTTTGTCTTTCCGTTGAAAACCCTGTTGTTTTCTTCGTTTTTTTTAATTTTTCTGCTTTCCACACTTTATATGTGATTTTGTTCTGAATGATATTGGAAATATATTTGGCAAATGTTATCTAACATACAATACTGTTTTGGCATTTACATCAACCCAAGAATAACAACCTTAACACAGGTTTTGTTATAATTACATATCCTCTGTACAACAAATGCTGTAACGGTATTTTTTTAAATCTGCTACCTGGTTGAATAATTCTACTGACGTTTGTGTAGGAGTTACCTAAATTCATTTATTTATAAAGCAGATTTTTATAGAACTTATAAACCGTAGGTTTAAAATCATTTGTTAATCAACATCGACGAAACAGTTCTAGGTCATTTAATAAATGTTTACATTTTTCTTTGATACCATCTCTTTGTCAAATCTACCACCTTAAGTAGTGGTCTCGTGGTAGCGACTTCGAGTCGAGTATGGTAGGTCATTGGATAGATCCCGGGTTAAAACGAAGACGTGAACCTTGGTATTTGGAACTTGACAGGAAAGCGACATTTAGGAGTAAAATCATAGATTGGTCATCTCTCAGCCAGAATATTGTGCCCGTGTAGGATGAAAAATATATTCCTGGAGAATGTTACCTTGTGAGCTATATGCAGCATTTTCAAATCCGATTCAGCATATCGATATAGTACAAAATAATAAAATTGAGAATGGAAATGGGGAATATCTCAAAGAGACAACAACCCGACCAAAGAGCAGATAACAGCCGAAGGCCACCAATGGGTCTTTAACGCAGCGAGAAAATCCCGCACCCGGAGGTGGTCCTCAGCTGTCCCCTAAATAAAATTGCGTACTGGTCATCAAAGATACCGGACTTATAATTTTGAACGCAAAACGCGCGTTTAGTCTACAAAAAACTCATCAGTGATGCTCAAATTTCAAAAGTTAAAGGGTCAAATGAAGCACGAAGTTGAAGAGAATTGAGGGCCAAAAATAAGTACAAAGCAGTGTTTTGTACATAAATTCAGCGGATAGTTTTCTCGGTTGATTTGTTGTTTATTTGTCAAGATAGTGCATTGAAATGTTTTCTATGTGCTATGTGTTTTATTCATTGTTGAAGGCCGTACGTTGAAATATAGTTGCTAACTTCTACGTCATTTTGTTTCTGGTATATAGTTGTGTAATTGGCAATCTTACCACAGCTTTTTTTATAATGTAAACATCTTTCTTTTTTTAGTTCTTTATTTTTCTTAAAAAGCAGGTATCCTGAATTACTTCGAAGTACATACATCTGCAGGTGTAAACTTCTATCTCATTTGGTCTCTGGCAATCATACCACATCTTCTTTTTTATATTATCATCCTGATATGCATGACCTATTTACCATTGATGATGGTACTTTATATAACAATCCAGCATCATCATTATCATCATCATCGTCATCATCTGTTCTGGTTTGTAAAACGACCGATTATTTGTAATTTGGTATGTTGGCTTCCAAAGGATCTAATGGCAATGAGCAGTCATTGAATTAGTGTTAAAGTTCATCACAAAAGTTAAATTCAAGAATAGGTTATGGTGTTAATTAAAATCTGTGAATAATAGTTGTAACCAATTTTTTAGACTATCCTTCCTGCAGGTAGATATTGCGGGTAGGGTTGGGCGCTTAAAACTATTTTTAACCAAGCCACAATATGTTTGTGCCTGTCTCAAGTCAGGAGCCTGTAATTCAGTAGTTGTCGTTTGTTGATGTAAATCATATTTCTTCTTCGTTTATTGATTACACATAAATTCAGCGTTTAGATTTCTCGTTTCAATTGTTGTATAGTCGTCATGTTAAGGTCTTTTATAGCTTTGTATGCAGTATGGGTTTTCTTCATTTTTGAAGGCCGTACGGTGATTTATAGGTTCCAACCTCTACGTCATTTGGTTTCTAGTGGTGTCTAATTTGCAATCATACCACATCTCATGTTTATAATGTAATCATCTTTCTATTCTTTTTTTAAGAAAGTAGGTATATTGAATTACTTCGAAGCATTTTAATCGTTCATATGAAATATCAGAGAAACCCTCAATTATTCTTTATTATAAAGACAATTTGAACACTTTTACACGGTTAAGACTACAAAAAGAAAACATTTATATCCCCCATGAAAATTGAGATGTGTAATGTTCAAGTTTCTGAATGCCACGACCTATTAAAATGCTTGTGTCTATTTTTTATTTATTTCATTGATTGCTCCTATTTGTAACAAAATAAAACTAAAGTCTTCTAATTGTCCGGGCGAATTTAAAAATAAGGATACGTAAATTTTGCAACAATATAGAATCAGGACTAAATATGTAGTAATACTCGGCATAACTAATAATATTCATTGTTAGTGGAGTTCAAATCTGCTTAACCCTTATTTAATGGTCGAATTGATTTTTCGTGTTATACTGTAGAAAGCAAAAGGGCAGCAGGAAGTGATGGTCCTTACGATGAACATGCATTTAGTTCACTTACCTTTTTTTGCGAAGATCGTGGCGCTCAATCTTAAGTTTGTCTGTGCAGTGGTTTGTGGACTGTTGTTTTTCCTTTCGTCATTCTTTCTTGCTATTGAATATATAGTTTTTTTTATTGTCCACTTGAACATGTTGCGGGTCCGTGGCTGAAGTAAAGTACATATGTCTTAGTTTAAGCCTGGATATTTAGTATTCGTATTGTCATCTGATAAAGTTATGCTGATTGTAAGGTGCACAGTTATCTCTGCTTTCAAAATATTTCTGTTTGAATCCATCGTGGTTTTCTTACTACAATAGACGTACTATAAACTAAATTAAATTTTTAAATAATTAACCAAAATTAATGGTGTTATTGAGGTGGAAAAAAACAGACGTGTGTAACATAGATATACAACAACTACTGGAAGAATTCAAGGTTCTACTAATACAGGAGGGACTTACAGAAGGTAATAGGTAACTACAACCAAAAACTACATGTGACATATACTATTGGTATCGGTATCGGATTCGATCCAGAACTTGTTAATTATTGGAAATATGAATTACGCGTGTATGTGGAAAACAAAAGGGCCTGGAATGGTGTCATTTTTAAACAACACCATTGTGCTATATTAGTTAAATATATATATAGTTGAATTCTGTGATTCGTCGTTTTATCGTCATGCCGGCTAACATATTGGACCTCGTTATTTTAGTAGTATAGATGGGTTAGATACCCAGGACAATTGAACATATTACGTAAAAAAGTAAAGCCCATGAAACAAACAGAACAAAAAAAAGTCGACTTACACTAAACAGAACACTAAATACTCAGTACATGTATCTCACTAAAATCTGTGTTCGAGAACGTTATGTAACTCCTGGTCGCCTAGTGACATTTGTTTTGTAACTCATTCGATAAAGCATTGCCTCTCATCACCTGTAATGTCACTGGTGGTGAATCAGGTTTCATGATAGCTTCTTCCTCTATGAGCTTCTTATTGATAGGAACACCTTTAAATTCAATGAGTTTTATGGTAATTTTGTAAAAAACTTTTTTTTAATGTATTATATAACAAACTGTGTATAAGACTATTGGATCCATTTTGTAAATGAATATATCTTTAAAATGTAACATATAGACTTGACTTTTATCTTGTATCAATTTTACAAAGCTACAGTATTATATGTGTTGGTGTTGTGTATGTATCGTTGTTCCTCCTGGTTATAATGGGTTTGTTGGCTTACTGTATTATGTATCATGTATGCAAATCTAATATAACGAGGTTCATAACAGCTTAGAAATGGACGTCTGGTATTTTGTTGTTAATATCAAACTATTAACCTTTAACCAGTGTGTCAACTGCAGTCGACAACAACATTTTGATGCAATTACAGTATGTCAGCGACCTCTCAATGGGGATGCACATAATTGGTATATATACACATTTCCATTCATAAAATAAAAGATTGTAAGAATACGTTTTAAGGATGTTCGCTCCTCCTGTTTTTGATTTTTTGTCAAATATACGGAATCCTCTGGTTTTATCCATGTTTTTCCATTAAGAATTTTGTCCACCAACCCCTACTTTTCTTTTCATAATTTTATTACATATAGTTAAAAAAGCCATATTTGAAAATCTTATAAAATCCTTGTTATTTTTTCAATGTTTTTTAAAGAAAAAAGGTGCCAATGTTAAATGTATGAATAATCTAGAGAGAATGATTTCCCGCCAAATTTTCAATGGCTTATATCTCGAAAACAAGCACACGGACCCTTCATTTATATCTGCTTTTTTAGTTCCTTTATTTATATACTATCAATTTATAACAGTCTTTTAAAAAGCTTATTATTTTGAAACAGAGTAGCGAACATCCTTAAATGTGAATTATATAATAGATATAAGAAGATGTGATATGAGTGCCAATGAGACAACTCTCCATCCTAGTCAAAATTTATAAAAGTAACCACATCAAAAAGTTACTTTTGAAAGAATAGTTATTGTTAGAGGCAATATCAACTTATAATAGAGAGAAACAATGTTTTTCTTTTTCTTTGAATAACATTTAAGTTA